TTTCGCAATGAAAAAATCCAAATTATTTCACATAACTCATTTTCCTCTTAACCCTAAGTATATATGTTTGTTCACTTTAACAAGTATATTTCCTTAATATTCGTTATATAACTTGTACTAATATAAGAATTGGTTTGCTTTCATATATAAGGATGTAAATTATCTGTTTTGTTGTAATAATGTACATATATATAAGGCCAAAAGTCACTTTTGGTCCTGTAGTTTGGCACTTCAACCACTTTTGACCCTGTAGTTTCAATTTCGTCACTTTTAACCCTGTAGTTTCATATTTGAAGCAATTCAAGGACATGTTAAAATTTCTGTTAATTTCTTTAACGGAGTAAACATGTGCCCCTCACGTGGAAGGGCAATTTTGTCACTCCAAAGCCCCAAGTAAAAGCTTGTCTCTACCCAACGTAAACCAAGAATTTAGTATCTTTCTATTATGATTGTTAAATCTGATTGCTATTTCACCATCCTCATCTGAAGAGTGGTTAGGTGAGTTGAAAGCTTTTTCTGAGTTTGTATCCGAGTCTTCTTCATGATCAAAAGCCACAAAATGCTTAGGTAGATAGGTATTTCCTACTCTCCCAAAACTGGATTGCATATTTCCATCAAACAGGTTGTTGTCATCAATGGCAGCATCATTATCACTTTCATATATTTCTTTATCTGATTCATCACCACTGTCTTGAAGATCTCTTATTCTCCTCCTACCATCAACGTCACAGTCTTCTTCACTATCCTCTTCATCATCAACATTGACAGGTACCTTTATCCTATCTTCATTGTCAATATTATGTCCATACACAGGCACTTCTATTGTTCCCATGTTGTCATTACCCACTTCTTGTCCACCTTCAAAGGAAATTTGTGAAGCTTGATTAAAAATATCATCAAAATATTCATCTGGAACCTCATCAACTGCTTCGACATAAGGAAATCGTGGGAGGGCCAGCATCTGAAAAATCAATGCCATGAAATTGAAAATATTGCTTTACTTTATGTGAATCAAAGCATTCAGAGCTATTAAATAACAAATGGCATGCATATTGCTTTACTTTATGCAAATAGCTGACCATTGTGTTTCCCAAACTCCCAATACACACACTATTTTATAAAATTTTCAACCATCATAGCAACAAAGCATAACTTTCCAAACCCAAAGTTGCATAACAAAACAAGGTCATTCAAATAAGAAAACAAAACAAAACAAGGCCACAAAACAAAAGAATGGAATAAACAAAAGCGAGAACAGAGAAGAGTGCAACAACAAAGTTCTTGGGATTGCCATTGCCACCATTTTTGAAGATTGACATTCCCAAGCTCTTCAAGGGGAGCATCAATCAAGAATGCCTGAAAAAAAAAAAAAAAAAAAGAAACAAAACAATAAAAAGTGAAAAAAAAAAAGGGGAGAGGTTGGATGAACAAGGAAAGTGCAGATTTGTTGGGGTGGCAACTGTTGATCCTATTGATGACTTTCTGATTAACTCCTTCCTTGGCCTACCCATTGAATGCCTTGCTGACCTCAATGCTATCATTTCCTTGTCTTAGTTCTTAGTGGTTTCAAGAGCGATAATCATTCCTTTTTCTATAGTGTATATATATATATATATATAAATAAACACTGAAAATCACGCTTTTTCTCTAAATTTCGAAAAAATTACCCACTACATGGGTTGCATACGGAATTTAAACTGATTCCTCTAATGATGATCATTAAAATTTATATATGTGAGTATTACATAGCCTGACACTAAAATGTAGATGAATTTGATTGTTTAACAAGTGATGATTACAAAAATCATAGCTATTTTATGTTTTTTTTTTCTTTTTCCTGTGTTGTTATCGTTCTCTTTCTGCAACTATATAAACATCATTTGCTTTCAGAAATGGCGTTGGAACCTACTAATTATATGCATTGAAACCTCAAATAAAAGAAAGTTGTAAAACAAATTCGCACAGAAAACTGAACCTTCAAAGATTTTGAGTTCACCTGGATTATTGAAGCCTCCATCGACTTCACCTCTGTTCTTCACCTCCATCGACTTCACCTCCCTAAACCCTATTGAAGTTCTGCTAGTCTTTTCGCACCCTCTCGTTGCACTTAATCAAAAACCCAGATGAATTTCACTAAATTTTTAAGAGCCCTAATCCTAATCTGCTTCAAAATGGCCAATTTCGCGCGCCCCTAGGGAAGAGGAAGAGACAAGCTGCTTTGGACTGACAAAATTGCCCCTCCACGTGAGGGGCACATGTTTACTCCGTTAAAGAAATTAACAGAAATTTTAACATGTCCTTGAATTGCTTCAAATATGAAACTACAGGGTTAAAAGTGACGAAATTGAAACTACAGGGTCAAAGTGGTTGAAGTGCCAAACTATAGGGACCAAAAGTGACTTTGGGCCTATATATAATAATTGCACACTGCTTTAAAGCTATCATTGCAATTGCGCCTAGAGCTTTGAACACGTCAGAGGTATTTAATAAGTTGTCCATATTACGTCAGAGGTATTCAATAAGTTGTCCATATGACACCGCATTGGGAATCAGTAATATATTTTTTGTCATGTCCAATCACATAAAATAATGCCATACTTTTTATGAAAAAACTCACACCAATCAAGCAATTTTAAAATATTTGTGAATATTTGTCCTAGTCTATATGAGTGATTATATATTCACTCTGCATTTTTTTTTGCAGTATATGTTAACTTTGAGAGGGATTCCAAAAACATATAATATAAAGAAAGAAAGCAATAGTAGGAGATGAAACAGTACAAAAAATAATATATATAACTAGTACAAAATAATGCCATAACATTGTTTGGAGGGGTGTTTATTATGCTCACATCAAACTTGGTTGGTAAATCCATTCTATGGGGGGAGAGAGTTTCTGTGGAGGAGAGAGTTTCAGTAGATGGAGACAAATTCGGTGGAGGAGTGAGTTTTTTTGGAGGGAGAATTTCTATGAAAGGGGTGATAGTAATACCAATAAAAGGGTTCCCGCCAAAAAACATTTGGTTGACAATGTATAAATTAATTTTTGGTCTGATACAATCTAAGTTTAATCCTAACTAGTTTGGTTGGGTTCACTAACTCGATGTCACTTCCATTGAGTTTCTTTCAACCACTAACAGTGGTGTAAGGAGACTGTGAGGTTGACATGCTTGAAAAGCTAAACCTGGCACCTCTTTTTTTAAAATTTAAATAAAGTACATATGTTGACTACACACAAGCTTTGGTATGTTGGTCTATAAAGCTATGTTCCCTTTCTCAAACGAAATTGCATGTGCAATCCTCATCCTCTAAAACAAATAGGATTATTCAAGCATGTCAACCTCTTCAGGCGCCAACAACACAATCGAAGATGAAAAATTGGAGTCACAGGTTCCATTTCCACGTTGTACTCTCCGACCCCTTCCATTTTCAACATCATTTGGGAGTGAAGGGGACTCCGATGATCCATTAGAAGCAATACATGCAGTCAATAGCAAGCTGAATTATAATTCCAGACTGATCAATTCATGGCACGAGAAATGTGTTGAAGACGAGGCCATTTTGGCTGATCTTAACATTAGAGTGAACAAAGCGTTCTCCCAAAAGAACAAGTACTTGAAGTTGAGTCATAAAAGGAAGCTGAAAGCTGAGGAGTTGGATACAGTAATGAATGATGAAATTAAAGGTTGTTTGATGAACTATATGCAATGCGAAGAGCACCACAGTGAACTGGAGCTGGCATTCAACGAAGGATTCGAAAAATTCCGAGCATTTGTGGCAACTACTCATATAAGTTATAATTGGGACTATGTGTCTCTTGATGCTGTGAGAGAGATACTAGACGATGGTGGTGACATGAATGAGCATAAGCACGTCAAAGCTGCTCAGAAGAAGCCGACCAATACGACTAAGTGATTGCGGCTACCGTTGTTCAGTTGGTTGGGGGTGATCGTAGTATTGCACAAATTAGAAGTATATTCCTTTAATGTCATTATCTAATTTAAAATAAGACAAATATCAGTTTCATTTGCTTCATATATAATTATTGGGACTATGTATTGCAAGTCATCATGTGTTCCTTCTATCTAACATTATATTTCACAAATATTGAAATATTATTCAATAAGCAGTCAATATCACAGCGAGTTAGGAATCAGTAAAGCCCCATTATCATGTCCGTTCACATTAACGAGCTGGCGTACTTTTTCTCAAAAAACTGACACGTGAGTCATAAGTAACATACCATGTGCTATACAATTTTGGTTTGTTGCATTGCGTGTATATTGAAAAACAAAACCTAGAGAGTGGATTTAACCAAATCCACTCCACAACCATTTCAGAGTCTCAGATATATATATATATATATATCATGAATAAAGTCAGTCAGTGACTCATATATATTATTCCCTAATCCCTCATCTTCAGCTTGGTTTGCATCTTCTGTCCGGCTGCCCAATTTCACAATATCTTCCACACGAATTTTCTCATCTGTCACACACAAAGATAACAACATTCATCATCATCATCATCTTCATGAATCAATCAATCAAATTAACTTCAAGGAAAAATCATCATCATCATATTAGATTTAGATTCCTATACATATACGGTGTAAACAAAATTCACTCACCTTTATCTTTGGAAAGGTTGCCTATGAGTTCTTGGATGCCCTCCTTGCCTAAAGTATAATTCAAGTAGTTCGGAGCAACTGCAACCTCATTAGGAGTTACTTTCCCATCAAAATCCATGCACACATATTGTAAACCTCATACCTTTAATTACATGGACAAAATTCCAATGCAGTACCATCCATCAAAGTTTAACATTACTAGTATCCCTCAAAATGAGTTTAATAACAACTCAAACCGACTACAGATTGAAAGACAAGAAAAGAAGGATTGCTTCCATTCAGTAGGAAGTACGATTTCTAACAGAACTCATAGGAAAAGAAAACCAAAGACGAAACAAGACGAGTTCACCAGTCAAGTAATTGCCAGAGATCACCAATATGCGCATATATAATCAATTTCCGTCTCAAGGTTTTGAAGCATTGCATCCACCTGATACATAGAAGATACGATAATCCATCAAGTGAACACGGGGTAAGTAAGTTAAAAGTAGATAATTCAGAATTTCATATATAACCTTGTCTATAAGCGCTGATGAAACCTCGTCACCTTCAGCCTCAACAGAAGTACTGTCACTTTCATCATGAGCAACTTTATATGCCTTCAAGGCATCCTTTTCACCATCTGTACCCTCTTTCTCCACCATGCCATTGTAAAGTTCAATCTGGAAAGATCAAAAGAATCAACTTAAGCAAAATATTCCCAAAGACAATGCATTTGGACTCAAACAAGAACATACAGAAGTATTCTTCTGACTTGAACATGACGCTGAAGACAGAGTTGCATGCATTCACATAATGTGTAGAAGACAGCTCATAAGTAAATCACATTAAAAGTTAAAAAGTCGTCAATCTACACATCCTTCAAACTAAAAGGGGCCAAAGCATAGTGGACATCAACATCCAAATTCTTCCAATACATCCACAGTACAAGCAGAAACATGGAAATCAGAACTGCAGACAATATTTGTGATGTACGGTCCTCCTGATAAACTGTAAGCAGTTAAACCTCCAATGCGTCTGCATATATCGAGCATGAGAAGACTAGCATGCCATGCATACCTATGGTAAGGGTACCAACGATAAATGCTTCCATCTTAATAGATACCTAATATAAACTAGGAGTAATTAAGGGTTTTAAATTACCTCCAAATTGACAAGTCTCAGGAACGCTTCACGCTCCCTACTAACTGACTGAAATAATGAGTCAATAACAGAAAAAATTAAAAACTGTTAAGCCATAGTGTAGATGATAGTGCTTGAAAATTTGGAAAATGAAAAATGAAAAATCAACAATCATAATCATTGAGAGTTATTAAGTCCAGTCCTTACAGATGCAGAAGCCAAAACAGCCAATGCACAACTTATTTCGCAGATCTTCTCTTCCTTTTCTAGTGTCCTTGCCCTTGCTTGTTCTCGTGCTTCTTTTGCTGTTGGAATAATCATCTCTTTCAATGCCAAATCCTCTTCACTGGCTTTAATTTCCTTCATCTTGGCTTGCTCTTCTTTCTCTCTCTTCCTCCTTCTGCAATATAATAATTTAGAATCTCTGGATGACAGTCATAATATTGATTTCAGGAGTTTTGTTTTCAACATTATTATTTGATTGCTCATCCTTTTTTTATTTTTATTTTTTGGATTCCGAATTTCAGCCAAGTCCAAAACAAATGCATCAAAACTGGCTTAACAAAATACACACTTATTTTCCTCCTGATGAAATACAGATTAGCAAGTTTAGTTCTGCAGCTTCCTAAAGCACCAATAGATATCTATAAAGCTATCAAGATAAAAGAAAAAATATTCCAACCTTCATCAGTTCTTCCTGCATATGAAGGAAGTCCAATTTCCTTCGCCTTTCAAATATAGAATCTTCAGATGGCAATGACGTAATACCGACAGTATCTACCACTTTATCTGGTAGAGAATACAGTGTAGCTAGAACATCATTAGCTGGAACCAACCTTCCAGACACAATGAAGGCCCTGCAAAAAGTGATATTACGGGAACATGATTAGGAACAACAAGAACCATTAAAAAATCAGCAGATGGTTTGGCAAAAAATGGGCCAATATGGAATTGTCTGACTTAAGAAGCTCCACATGTACTTTATATAAGCTTCCTAAAGAAGGCAATAGTGAACAAAACAACCACAATTTTCTGAAGCAGTCCAATATTCTCCATTTTCTAAAAAACAAACAATTCCAGATAAAATAAAAACAAACCAATCCTATGTTTCTATATAGGTGTAAGAGAATCATGACTTGAAACAAATAATCTACAGGGGCACCTTCAGAACAAGGAATTCAGATCCATATGTTACATTCTACAGCAAGCCATATCAAAGGAGGTCTACTTAATGCTCTTGCAATACTTCAAATCTTGCTCAAGCATCTCATGAAGATGCCTGTTTTCAACTTTCCCATGTTCCAATACTTCAAATATTAACACCAAAATATGTGTATTTTAATGGCTGATTAGCATCACACTCACACAAAATCTAATAGCATAAGAAACAAGCAGATTCCCATTCATTTCAATTAATACCTCCATTTCCTAATATCAGCAAGTGGGTCCATCGAATAGTAAGCTAATCTTACAATTCATAACAACCATGTCAACCAAGAGCATAGGTACTGGTAATTTAGTAACACAACTTCCATTAATACTAAAAGAATTTAATAACCTGTCCACACAAAATTGCAAGCTGCCCAGCCACTAAAATTGTAAGGCTAAAATCTGAAATATGCAAAGATCAATTAAAAACTACAATAATACCATTACCAATGATCAATTAAAAACAAGTAGTCTACTTCATAATTCATAAAGCCAAAGCTCATAAATTAGGCATTGAATGAATCCCTAAATTAGAATTTTGAAAATTAATCCCTAAGTTCTAAATGCCCAACTGAATCCCTAATTCCTAAACCCCAAAAGTAGAATTTAGAAAGGAAAAAAAAATTGAAATTGAATGACATGAAGATGAAGAGAACCAGAGAAGTAGGTGGTTCAGGTCAGGAGGAGTACTGAAATTTGAAGACGGAGAAGAAGAGAACTAACAGTTAGAGAGCAAAGGAGATGAGGCTGGAGCGGCGCCATGAATGCCCCTACTGTTGCAATAATAAAGAAAGGGGGATCAACGAATTTATAACAGACAGAGAGTACAAAACCAATATCAGAACTCACCACTGTGGAGAACGACGATGGAGGTCGCGACTGTGGCTTCACGGTGGAGGTCGACGACGGAGGTCGTGAGTTGCGGCGGCTTGGTTAGGGTCAAACTAGGGTTCCGAATTTGAGGAGAGCTAGGTTATGACGATGGATGGGTGGAGAACGGGATTGGACAGTAGCGAGATGGCTGGCGAGCTGAAGCTGAGGCAAGATTTGGGAGAGTGCGAGAGAGGAGAGGAATTAGGAGAACTTGGGCGTCAGAAAATGAATTTTTGAGGTGATAAAGTGTCAATAATAAAAGAAGACTCAAAACCCTCCATTGTGTCTGTGTTGGTTGCAAGATATTTATTGAACGGATTTTGGTTCTTTGATAACCACAAACCAGAGATGGCAAGAGAGAGAGAGAGAGAATAACATATTACAGAGTGGGTGGCTGGCGAGGAAGGAGGGTTAATGATGAAAGAGCGTGTTCTGCACTTTCGGATTGCCTCTTTTGGTATGGGTAATTTCAACCCGGTTTTACCAAAAAGACAACATTGAAAACTCACCATTGGATTTTATCCGACGGCTCTTAGATACCCCTCAAAAACACCCCTTATAACTTTCCACTCACTATAGAAGCACTCAGCAAAGAGCCCCATTTGCTAAAACTCATCTTCAACCCCAAAAGCCCAAATCCAATACAACTGAGCCCAGTTAGGTACAGTATGCAACAATGTGTATAAAAAAGAAACTGAACTGTGAATAGGATCTAACTCAATAGAAAAGTTATTTGATTGCAAACCAGTGATATTAGATTCGAACTACCATGATACATTGATAAATGTATGTGAAAAACCGACTATCGCTTGTGATTGGACTTTTTCACCTCCGCCCATGTGGGCAGATGTTCAAAATACCCTGAACACCCCATGAATATTTGTGTAAACCTCTTCCTCAATCGCTTGTACTAAATAAATAAAGCCTAAATCATAATTGGTTAGTTTCTTTAGGTTTCTTCTTTCATTTCTTTAAAAGTGGTTAATTTTGCATAATATATTTTGTGATTTCATTCTGATAGTTTAATTTTGTGGTGAATATATTTATTCAGCGCCCACCACATCATCTTTCTCTGCTCTGGCGTGGCGTCTGTGTGGTAAAAGAGTTGGACGTAAGACATGACAGTTCGACATCGTACAGAATCTCATTCTCCAATCAAATCAGAAACTCTGTCCACATTGCAATGATGACCACTAACATGCACATCCAGTTTTAAAAAAATTATTTTCACAAAGGTGCAGTCTCTTCCATTTTTCATCCTTAAACATGAACCCTTCGTTATCGCGTACCATATTCAACAATGGCCTTTTCTTTTTACTTTGTTTCTACCAATCAACCAAAGTGAAGGTGTTTCCTTGATTCGTACGTTATTGCAAATAGTTTTATTGCTTTAATTTTGTGTATTTACCAGACTTTGTAGTTATTTATTTTTTCTTTTAAATTTTTAGGAGAGAAGAAAATCGAATCTATTGCATGGTAAATGTGGTAGGTACTGGGCTAATTGAGGAAACATAGGGCACTAAGCACGTGAAACACTACACCAATGTTCCACTTACATGAAAATAGGAAGAGATAAAATGCAACCCTATAAGCCTAAGAATTCTAAACTACAATACTAGTTAACAACTTTTTGAAGATATTCTTAAACTAAGTAACCTAACAACTAAAAATAATTAAACACGTAATAAAATGCTCTTAATCACTCAAACTACAAGATTTTTCTCTTTGATCCTATTATACTTAAGAAATGTGTGGCAATTGTTGACATATAACACAATTTTGAACTAGAGGTGCCATTAGCAATTTTGGATTTATCAAATTTTCAACATGAACATGAGACTTAGGGTTAGTGTCAAATCCAAGCAACTTGATTTAGACATGACAAACACGTTTCTTGCATTGTATTATATGAGGGAAAATTATGAATCTTTTCTATCTTTAATTGTGTATTATATAAGCAATTGTATGATTATTTTTACGATTTGGTTAGTATCATGACGAAGTTGGTTGTTATTCTATAAGTTAAGTATTAGTGATAAGATATGATGATTTAGAAATAAATGAGACTTAGTGTTAAGGTGTTCGTTTATAATGTACGTCGCAATCCAAATACAACACAATTATTAACGAATTTAGTTAGTGTTAAATTGAGTCTTTCAATGTGATTAATCAAATATGTCAAGTTAGGATTGACTAGTATTCAACACGAATTTAAAATGACACAACATAAACATGACCAATTAACAAAACTTGTCATTTTATGTTTTTTCGGTTTTTTTAAATACAAGTAATAGTCTAAATTATAAGAGAATGGGAGTTTCTTTCACACACACACTACCAAGGTGACATGGGGTTCAAATTTAACAACACTGAATGCAAGTCATACCCTTTTTCACTGGGCTAAATCCCATTGACAATTCCCATCGTATCTTAAATTTTCTAGAAATGAAATATGTTGGCCCAAAATAAAAGTGAAAAGGAGAAAGTGCGCATAAGATGAAATAGGTAATTTACAATTTTAACATACGTTAAGAAAATTGTAGATAAGTCATAAAATGGTCAACCCAATATAAAATATGAAAAACGAAAAACAAATAAAATAATAAAATAAGGAACAAAAATTATATGGCCTATTGAAAATTCACGTAGCAAAATCAAAGATGTGAACAGAAGCAGTGCCGTGCCTGAAATCCCAAAAACCCATCTGATCCCAAAGCCTCTCTTCATCCGCTCAACCATTCAAAACCTTCGCTTTCATTCTCTGACTTCCACTTTGAATTCCCACAATCCCTGTCTCTTTGTTTTATATTTGTTTGCCTTTGAACTTCGCCCATTGCCGCCGTCCTCACCTCTCAGTGTTGAAGGCGAAACTCGCAAACCCAATTCACGGTTTTGAATCTGGGACACCTTTTTGCCGCGTCCACAGAATCACAGGTCCTTCATAAACCTTCCCTTTTTCTCTTTCTCTTACAGTTCTCTGATTTTGCCATTTTCTTTAACTTTCTATTTTCAGCTTGTATGTATTTTACTTCAACACGTTTCTCATGCACTTTAAAGTTGTGTGGGGGAATCGGCATTTTGATAAATCTAGGAGCCGAAAAGTTTCACTTTTAAAAACTAGTTTGTGCTTAATTAAATAGTTCACAACCAGTCAAAATGAAATTGTTTTGCTTTTTCGATATTTTATGTTTGGGTTCTTTAGTGGAGGACACGTCTTAAAGATACAGCTTTTGGAGCTCTCGAATGATTTTGGTGATGTTTCTAACCCCCTTTACTTAGTTCTACCCTCCCGTACCCATCTAGTTACAGCCACCCAATTGATTTGTTTTCTGTATGAATCCCTGCTTCTGGAGACAAAACAGTGATTTCAGTCGAACTTAGGTGACTCCTGTCCTATTGGTTCGGTCCTAGCATCTTCCTTTTGGGTTTTGTGTTTGGTGGGGGGGGGGGGGGGGGCAATATTGAGTGTGGGCGGTCTTTGGACGCAATTTTGTGATGTGTGGTTATTTTCGATTTATTTTACTTTATGTTATTTTTTTGCGTTTTGTATGTTTTCTGTGGTATGTTGTTGTGTTTTTGGTGTGCTTTTGATTACACGCTTGTCGTGCTATTCGTGATTATGCAAGACCTGCTTGAGGCGCGTCGGTCACAGCTGTGAGATTGCGTCGTGGGTGTCTGTCGACGCTTCGGACGTATCGCTTTGCTGGGTTCATAATACTCCGAAGTGTCTCTCGTTGTCCTTAGAGCCGTGAGAGCCTGCTTATAGCTCCTTCGCGAGCGGTTGGCTATCCTTGCTCCTCTTTGCTCTGTGTTTCTGCATATCTTGCACCTCTCTCTGCTGTTTGCATGCTCGCTTTTGGGCCGCTCGCATTTGAGCCTTCTGTGTATTTCTATTGTCTTCAGTTGTTCTTGTTAGCATTCTGGCGCGGCCGGTTCTGGGATGCGCTGCTGTGTGTAGACCGCTAGTGCTTCACATACCTTGGGGACCGGGTCTTCAGATGCAGTCCCCTGAGCATCATCCCCGTATATTCGATGACGCAGATCTTAATTTGCATCTACTTTGCTCATACTTTCTCTTATTTATGTCCGAGGCTCTCTTGCATCTGAGGTACCATACAGCTTGAGTTAGCTTTGTGTTCGACGAATGCTTTGAGCTCGTTCATGATGAGACTGTGTGGTTGTTGTTCCCAAAGTTCTAGCTGTTCTTAGGCTAGACACGATACCTGCGCGCGCCTCGTCCGCGTCGTCTCTCTCGAAGCGGAGCTCTATGCTCGTGGTGGATGGTTGTGCTCGTCCACATTGTCTTACTGCGTTGTTTTGTTGTGTTATGTCTCCTCAGATGTGGTCGATTTTCTGCTGCCAAGGATGGGAGAATGCGTCGCCAATAGGTCATTTTCTGTTCTTCTGTTAGTTCGTGGCATCCTTCCTTCTTCGTCTAGGGGTGTTTGGGGACGATATTTGTTTGGCGCAGTCATGCTCGAATAATAGAACAGTTCGCGACTAGGAAGATTATGTACCACTGTGGGACAGACTATCAGGTTTACGTTTGCGATGATACGAGTCACGCCATCTGACCCTAAAAGGGCTAACCAGAGTGCGTGGCCGCAGCCAGTCACGACCGCGTCGCTGTGACACTACCGTACACGCGAGAGAACGCAGCTCTCTATCTATGCAGAGTAGCAGGTGAGTTTCGCATCGAGAGCGCTGCGCGCGGCTCTTCTTGAGCGAGACCGCTTACGAGGAGACACGCAGTTCCGGCTTTTGCTTCAACCAGTAGTCCTTCTGTCACTCGAGCATGACATCGCATTTCACCTTACCCTATGCCTTATATGACACTGAGGTCGGCTTTAGACCTATCGGAGGAGAGCCCCTTGCCGAGTTGTGCTTCGCACACTGCATTTGCATATTAAGTCTTGCCAGCAGTGAACGAGTCAACGATTTTGGCATTCTGTGCAGTCATCTGACTTGGTCTGCACTGACTCCACACGGTTTCTTCACCGATGCCCTATCTGTCATCGCGCGCCCTAGCGCTGCTGCATGGATCGCGACCATGTCAAAGAGTCAGCGATCTTCTGTACTGTCTCCGTCCAAAAGAGACGTATCCTCATATGAATTTTCCTTGCCAGGCCTGCAAGCAGCAGCCGACGAACGCGGACGTCTGTATAGAGAATGATTACGTCGCATACTGGACGAGTCCGTAGCACCGGGACGCTGCACCTAGTCTTCTAAGTACCAGGAGTCGCAACAGTTACACTAAGAATCTGTGGTGTACAATAATGTTCTCAATTTTTCGTCAACAAGCAACAAGAAACAGCAATGCAAGAGCTGCCAACTAATGAAATCCTAAAGTTAAAATCGGTTACCAAACAAATCACAAATGTTATTCGAAGTGACCGGGACCACAGCTCTGAAGCGGTTCCCCACAGAACAAAAACCAGCACCCAATAATTTGTTCTGCCATAAACAACTATGAAACCAGAAGTTCAATCACTAAGTTATAAGCATGGAATCAAAGTTTGGCTCCAGAATTCAATTGATTCAATACAGAAAACAAATCAAGTTTGTGCTGTACACTAGGGAGTAACATTGAATGATTAGGGACCAGTAACGTTGGTTTAGACACATCAAACCAAAATCATCTATAAAGAGCTCCAAAACTGTATCTTTAAGACGTGTCGCCACTAAAGACCCAAAACAGAAAATATCGAAAAAGCAAAACAATTCATTTTGATGGTGTGAACTATTTAATTAAGCACAACTCGTTTTTAAAAAGTGAAACTTTTCGGCTCCTGCTTTATCAAACAATGCCAGATCCCCCCCACAACTTTAAAGTGCATGAGAACTGTTGAAGTTAAATCCATACAAGCACGAAAAATAGAAAGTTAAAGAAAAATGTCAAAATTAAGGAGACTATTAAGAGAATGAGAAAAAAAAAAAAAACGTTTATGAAACTGTTACCTGTGATCTCTGGCGCCAGCGGCAAAGGTCTCCAGATTCAAACAACGTGAATTGGGTGTCGAGGTGTCGCCTTCAACAATAGAGGTGAGGACGGCGGAATGGGCGAAGTTCAAGGCAAACAAATATAAACACAGAGAGACAAACAGGGATGCGTGGGAATTCACAGTGGACGTCAGAATGAAAGCGAAGGTTTTGAAATGGTTGAGCGGAAGAGAGACCCCCTTGGGGCTTTTTCAGGAGGTTGTGGGATTTCCGGCACTGCACTGCTTATGTTCCCCATCTTTGATTTTTGCTACCTGAATTTGCATAGGCAATATACTTTTTTGTTCCTATTTTAATTATTATTTATTATTCGTTTTTCGTTTTCATATTTATTGGGTTGGGTTGAGACAGTTGATTGACTTATCTACCATTTCTTAACGTCTGTACATATAAATTATATTTCTTCAGTATGCGCACTTTCTCCTTTCTCACGTTATGATGGGTCCCACATATCATTTCTCCGACATTTAGATAATACAATGGGAATGGCAATGGGATTTACGCCCAGTAAAAAGGCTCTTGATTGATTCAGTGTTCTTACATTGATTTTAGACCCCGCAGTCACAGTGGTATGTGTGTGGTGAAGGGAAACCTCTCCTTCCTCTGATACTTTAGGATCTATTATTAAAAAAAAAAAAAAAACAAAAAAAACAGTAGAGATGGCAATTTTTGTTCATTGGTCATGTTTATGTTGTGCATTTTAAATTCGTGGTGAACTACTAGCAATCCAAGTGACATTTGATTAATCAACATTGAAAGACTCAATTAACAATAACTAAATTCGTTTAATTAAGTGTGTTGTTATTTTGGATTTGAGACGGAAATTATAACGAACAACGGTAACACTAAGCGTATCAGTATGCTAAATCATCTATCTTATCACTAAATTAATTATAGAATAACACCAACTCGTCCATGATACTAATTTTTTTTTTTTTTTTTTTTGTTATATAGTGTTTTTTTTTTGTGCGGCCTCTAGAGCGGCGGCTCGGATGGCGGGTCCCCGGGGCCCGGAGGCCGTGGGGCGCGCCCGCGCGCTGCTGTGCCGGCGGGGGCCGCGCCGCCCGGTGCGCTGGGACCGACTCGGTCGCCGCCCGCCCCCTCCCCCGCTGGCGTGCCTGTGCTCCCCTCTTACCGGAGCGCAGCCGCGACGCCCTCGGGGAGCGGCTAGGCAGCCCGGCGCGGATCCGAGCGCGACGGGACCCCTCCGGCGCGCTACCCCACCATATCTACTCTACCAAATCGTAAAATAAGCATTCACAATTGCTTATAATACACAATTACAAAAGATAGAAAAGATTCATAATTTTTCCCCATATAATACAACTGCACGAAAAACGTGTTTGTCGTGTCTAAAATCAAGTTGCTTGGATTTGACACTAACCCTAATGTCTCATGTTCATGTTGAAAATTTGATAAATCCAAAATTGCTAATGGCCACATCTAGTTCAAAAATTGGTTATATGTCAAACAATTGCCACACATTTCTTTAAGTATATAGGATCAAAGAGAGCAAAATCTTGTAGTTTCGAGTGATTAAGAGCATTTTATTACGTGTTTATTATTTTAGTTGTTAGGTTACTTAGTTTAAGAATATCTTCAAAAAAGTTGTGGAATATCGATTGATACGCTAGGTAGTTTTAGAGCACATAGCTTAGAGATGAGCTAAGGGATGAATTTATTCTTCGATTTTCGGATCGTAAGTGGAACATTGGGTGTCGTGTTTCCATCAGTCTTAGTGCCCTATGTTCCTCAATTAGCCAGTAAACTACCACATTCTCATGCATAGCTTCGATTTTCTTCTCCTACTGTTGTATTTACAAAGAAGAATCCTAAATAACTACCAAAGTCTGGTAACTACACCAAATCAACGCAATAAAGATTTGCAATAACTACGAATCACGAAACCCTTCAACTGTGGTGGATTTGGGTAGCACTACAGCAGTAAACTAAGAAAGGAAAAGCCATGTTGACTATGGTACGCGAGACAGGGGTCCTGTTAGGAGGAAAAATGGGAAGAGCCTGCACCTTTTGTGACAACACAATTTTGTAAAATGGATGTGCATGTTATGTCATCATTGCAATGTGGACGCAGTGTCGGATTGATTGGAGGAATGAGATCTGTACGATGTCGAACTGTCCATGTCTTACTCCAACTCTTTTCCACACCCGACGCCCCGCCCGAGCAAGAACATGATGTGGTGGGCGCTGAAAAATATATTCCCACCACAAATTAAACTATCAGATGAAATCACAAATCTATTATGCAAAATTAAACCCACTTTTAAGAAGAAATGAAAGCAGGAAAAAACCTAAAGAAATCAAGCACAGGTAGAGCAAAACGTAGCAAAGTTGCCTAGACAGCAGTTGGTCCGAGTTCCAGTAGCGCGAGTGAGGACGTGGCGGTTCGCTTACACCAGCGACTTTCACCACAACACTCGCCGTGACCGGTGTATCCCCGGGCGTAGTGCGGGAGTCTACAGACGCCGAATGTAAACACACGACCCCATGGGCGGCGGGAAATGTCCAATCACAAAGCGATAGTCGGTTTTTCATAAATGTATCAAGTATCTGGTAGTTCGAATCTAAATCAATGGTTTGCAAATCAAATAACTGTCTATTGAGTTAGTCATTATTCACCGTCAGTTCTTTTTTATACACATTGTTGCATATGTACCTAACGGGTCAGGTGTAGTGAATTGGGCTGTTCGGTTGAAGATGAAGTTTTAGCAAATGGGCTCTGTGTGAGTGCTGATATAGTGAGTGGAAGTTATAAGGGGTGTTTTTGAGGGGTATCTCAAGAGCCGTCGGATACAATCCATGTGAGTTTCAATGTTGTATTTTTGGTAAACCGGGTTGAAATTACCATACCAGAAAGAGGCAATACGAAAGTGCCGAAAACGCTCTTTCATCATTAACCTCTTCATCGCCATGCCACCACTCCTATAATATGTTAGTATTTCTTCTCTCTATTGCCATCTCTGGTTTGTGGTTCTCAAAGAACCAAAATCAGTTCAGAAAATATCATTGCAACAACCAGAACAATGGAGGGTTTTGAGCTTCTTTGATATTGGACAACGTTATAACCTCAAAAAGTCAGTTTCGGACGCAAGTTCTCCAATTCCTATCCTCTCTCGCACTATCCCAAATCTTGCTCACTTTCAGTCGCCAGGCCAATCATCGTATCTGTCCATCCCGTTTCTCCACCCATCTCGTCATAACCTAGCTCCTCCGCAAATTCGGGAACCCTATTTGACCCACCAAGCGCAGCAACTCACGACCTCCGTCGAGAGACCATCAACGTGAAGCTCACGTCGCGACCTCCATCGTCGTGCTCCACATGGTGAGTTCTGATAGTGGTTTTGTACTATCTGTCGGGATAAAATCGTTGATCCCCCTCTATTATGGCAACAGTAAGGGGCATTCATGGCGCCGCTCCAGCACTCCTTGCTCTCACTGTTAGTTCTCCTTCTCTCCGTCTTCAACATTTCAGTAATCATACTGAACTGAAACCACATAACTTCTCTGGTTTCTCATCGTCATGTCATCAATTTCAATTTTTTGTTCGCTTCAAAATTCTGACTTTGGGTTTAGGGAATTAGGGACTCAGTTGGGCATTGAATGGGGATTAATTTTCAAACTTCTAAATTAGGCTTCATTCAATGCCTAAGTTATGACGCTTTGGCTTTATGATTATGAAGTAGACTAAGTGTTTTTAATGTCATTGGTAATGGTCTTATGTAGTTTTAAGATCTTTGCATATTTCGATTTAGCCTTACAATTTAGTGCGGCAGGCTTGCATTTTGTGTGGAAAGGTTATTAAATATTTTGTATTATGGAAGTTGTGTTTTATACTAACTTCCCAGTACCTATGCTCTTGGTTGACATGGTTGTTATGAATGTAGATTAGCTTACATTCGATGGACCCACTTGTGATTAAAATTATTAAGTGGAAAAATGCATGGGAGATCGCTTGTTTCTTATGCTAGTAGATTTTGTGGCGTGTGTGCTAATCCGCCATTAAAATACAATATTTTGGTGTTATATTTGAAGATTGGAACATGGGACGTTGAAAACAGGCATCTTCTGAGATGTTGAGTAAGGGATTGGAAGTTTGCAAGAGCCTTTAAGTAGACCTTCCTTTGGTTGGCTTGCTAGAGGTAACATCTGGATCTGAATTCCTTGTTCGAAGGTGCCACGTAGTTATTTGTTTAAGTCAGATTCTCTCTTACACCGATATAGCAAACATAGGATTGTGGTTTTTATTTTCTCTGACTTTGTTGTTTTTTAGAAAATGGGATCTTGGACTGCTGTCAGAAAATGTGGTGTGTTTGTTCCACTATGGACCTCTTTCGGAGGCTTATAGAAAGTACATGTGCGCTTTTAAGTCCGACTTCCCTATTGGCCCCTTTTTTGCCACACATCTGCTGCTTGTGACTGGTTCTTGGTGTTCCTAATCCTGCTCTCCATGATATCACTTTTTGCAAGGGCCTCATTGCTGTGTCTGGCGGTGGTTCCCGCTAAGGTGTCTCGAGCTCCACTGTCTTCTCACCAGCTAACGTGGGCGCTACTGGCGGTCTCCGTCACATTGCCCTCTGAAAGAGTTCTTCTTGACAGGCGCAGGCACTTTGACTTCCTTCCTCTGCCGCCGTACTGATGCCGGTTGGCCTATGTTCTTTTATCTGCTCGCTTCTCGATCTCTATTGGTGCTTTAGGCAGTGCCGCCCTCAACCCTTGCTCATCGTTTTCCTCGGCGGCCAAAATCAGTGTGTATTTTGTCCGCCGTGGGAATGCCTTGTTTTGGCCGCTGGCTGGCCCTTCGGAATCCAAAAACATACCCAACAAAACAGGCTGCGCACTCCAAATACATTCACTGTTGCCCCCAACCCCCCAACTCCCTTGCCCCGATACTTGACTGAACATGTCGTCCAGCGACTTCGTCCATGCGCTTATAATTGCCCGACAGGGACGGAAGCGCGCGCAAGCAGAGCCAAGACAACGATGAAGTGAAATTAAAGCACGTGAGAGGATTTGCAGTGAAAGAGATGAGTAGTCCAACAGAAAAAGACCGAAAGAGCAAAGCAAGGGACACAGGACACAGAAAGGAAGGAGATCTGGAAACAAGTTGGCATTGGCTGGTTTGGCTCTGCATCTGGTAGGACTGGATTAATAACTCTCCTGCTATATAGATTGTGATTGTTTCAATTTTCTCCTTTTCCAATTCAAGGCACTATCTCTTACACTATGGCTTACCCGTTTAATTTTTTCGGTTATGACTCATGAGTTCAGCAGTTAGTAGGGAGCGTGAGGTTCCTGAGATTTGTCATTTGGAGGTATTTAAAACCCAATTATCTCGTTTATATCGGTACTCTCTAAGATGGCAGCTTACGTTGGTCCCTTACCATATGTATGCATGGATGATCGTTACGTTTCGAGATCAGCTACGATACTATGCAGCGCATTGGAGGTTTAACTGCTCCAGTTTGACAGGAGAGAAGTACATCACAAATAGGCTGCGTATGCAATTTTGAGTTTCCTGTTCTGCGGGTATGTGGATGTATTGGAGACCTTGGATGTGATGTCCACTATGCTTTGGCCCCTTTTAGGTTTGAAGGTATGTGTAGTATGACGCTGTTAACTTTTAAGGGTGATTATTATATAGCTGTATTCTACCATTAGGAGATGGCATGCCACTCTGTCTTCAGCGGTTCATGTTGCAAGTCAGAAGAATACTTCTGGCGTTCTTGTTTGAGTTCCAAATGCATTGTCTTTGGGCATATTTTCTTAAGTTGTTCTTTTGATCTTTCCAGATTGCACTTTACAATGGCATGGGGGAGAACGAGGGGTAACGCGTGATGGTGAAACGGATGCCTGGAAGGCATATACAGTTGTCTGCTATGATGAAGTGACCAGTACTCTGTTAGGCTGAGGTGTACGAGGTTTTCCAGTCGGATTTTTTTTATATGACAATGTTTATATTATGAGACTTCCTGAATTATCTTTACTTGTAACTTTGCTTTACCGTGGTCAGCTGTGATGGCGCATCTGATACTACACTCTTCTATTACCTACGGTGTGGCCAGCAATAATGCTTCAGAACCTGCGACGGAAATGATGATATTATCGCGCATAGTGGTGACTCCTGGGGCAATTACTTGATACTTGATGTGATCGTTGGTTTCGTCTTTGGTTTTCTCTTTTCCTTGAGTCTCTGTTAGAAATTCATACTTCCTACTGAATGGCAAGCAATCCCTTTCTTTTCTAAAGTCTCTTCATCTGTACGTCGGTTGTTGAGTTGTTAGTAAACGCATTTGGAGTGCTACTAGTCAGGTAAAAAACTTTAGCTGGATGGTAAACGCAGAGGAGATATGGAACTTTTGGTCGCTTCGTACAGATTACAAATGTTGCGGTTTACAATAGGGATGTGTGGGGACATGAGGATTTGTGTTAGGGGAATAGTGTAGATCTCGGACTGAGGCTTCCAGTTGTCTCCGAACTACTTGAATTACCTTTATGGCAAGTAGGGCATATCCAAGACATGCATAGGGCAACGGCTTTTGCGCAAAGATCAAGGTGAGTGAATTATTGTATCCAACACGTAATATGTATAGGCAATTCTCAAATCTAACTATGATCGAATGATGCTGATGCTTTTTCCTTGAAGTTAATTTGCCTTGTATTGATTGCATGAAGATGATGATTATAAAAAGATAAGAATGTTGTTATCTTGTGTGTAGTGAGCAGAGAGACAATGCGTGTGGAAGATATTTTGTGAACGTGGGCACGCGATGATCAGAAGATGGCCCAACGCAAGCTGAACGATGATAGGGATTCGGCGGAATAATATATATGAGTCACTGACTGACTTTGATCATGATATCTATATAATATATAGTTACATCTGAGACACTCCTGCAATGGTTGTGTAGTGATTTGGTTAAATCCTACTCGGCTAGGTTTTGTTGTTCATATACACGCAATGCAACAAACCAAATTTATAGGGCAGCTGGTTGTCTATCTTATGACTCACGTCAGTTTTTTGAGAACAGCTACGCCCAGCAATCGTTAATGTGAACGGACATGATAATGGGGCTTTACTGATTAACTAACTCGCTGTGAGTATTTGACTGCTTAGGTGAATAAATATTTCTATATTTGTGAATATAATGTTAGGATAGAGGGAGCTCAAACTATGATGACTTGCAAATACTGTCCGTGCAATATTATATATGAGTGAGTAAAAAAAAAAAAAAAAAGCGAAAACAGGGGCAATGAAATAAAAAAATGATAAAAAAAAAACGGATGTTTCTTCATCATTTAATTAGATGTAATGACATTAAGGAATATACTTCTCAATTTGTGAATGGATGACCCCTTAAAGGAATTAGTACTGTCTAATTTTGTGCAATAGCGGGACTGCTCACCCCCACCAACTGATATCAAAACCGTTTTTAAAAATTTTAAAATTTGTAGGCCGTCAATCACTTAGTCGTATTGGTCGGCTCATTCGTCGGAGGGCACTTTGACATGTCTTATGCATCATTCATGTCACCACACATCGTCTATTATCTCTCTCGACAGCATCAAGAGACACATAGTCCCAATTATAACTTTATATGAGTAGTTGCCACAAATGCTCGGAATTTTTCGAATCTTCGTTGAATCAAGCTCCAGTTCACTGTGGGCTCTTCGCATCGCATATGGTTCATCAAACAACCTTTAATTTCATCATTCATTACTGTATCCAACCTCAGCTTTCAGCTTCCTTTTATGACTCAACTTCAAGTACTTGTTCTTTTGGGAGAACGCTTTGTTCACTCTAATGTTAAGATCAGCCAAAATGGCCTCGTCTTCAACACATTCTCGTGCCATGAATTGATCAGTCTGGAATTATAATTCAGCTTGCTATTGACTGCATGTATTGCTTCTAATGGATCATCGGAGTCCCCTTCACTCCCAAATGATGTTGAAAATGGAAGGGGTCGGAGAGTACAACGTGGAATGGAACCTGTGACTCCAATTTTTCATCTTCGATTGTGTTGTTGGCGCCTGAAGAGGTTGACATGCTTGAATAATCCTATTTGTTTTAGAGGATGAGGATTGCACATGCAATTTCGTTTGAGAAAGGGAACATAGCTTTATAGACCAACATACCAAAGCTTGTGTGTAGTCAACATATGTACTTTATTTAAATTTTAAAAAAAGAGGTGCCAGGTTTAGCTTTTCAAGCATGTCAACCTCACAGTCTCCTTACACCACTGTTAGTGGTTGAAAGAAACTCAATGGAAGTGACATCGAGTTAGTGAACCCAACCAAACTAGTTAGGATTAAACTTAGATTGTATCAGACCAAAAATTAATTATACATTGTCAACCAAATGTTTTTTGGCGGGAACCCTTTTATTGGTATTACTATCACCCCTTTCATAGAAATTCTCCCTCCAAAAAACTCACTCCTCCACCGAATTTGTCTCCATCTACTGAAACTCTCTCCTCCACAGAAACTCTCTCCCCCCATAGAATGGATTTACCAACCAAGTTTGATGTGAGCATAATAAACACCCCTCCAAAACAATGTTATGGCATTATTTTGTACTAGTTATATATATTATTTTTTGTACTGTTTCATCTCCTACTATTGCTTTCTTTCTTTATATTATATGTTTTTGGAATCCCTCTCAAAGTTAACATATACTGCAAAAAAAAATGCAGAGTGAATATATAATCACTCATATAGACTAGGACAAATATTCACAAATATTTTAAAATTGCTTGATTGGTGTGAGTTTTTTCATAAAAAGTATGGCATTATTTTATGTGATTGGACATGACAAAAAATATATTACTGATTCCCAATGCGGTGTCATATGGACAACTTATTGAATACCTCTGACGTAATATGGACCACTTATTAAATACCTCTGACGTGTTCAAAGCTCTAGGCGCAATTGCAATGATAGCTTTAAAGCAGTGTGCCAATTCTTATATATAGGCAAAAGTGTCACGTTTGGTCCCTATAGTTTGGCACTTCAACCACTTTGACCCTGTAGTTTCAATTTCGTCACTGTTAACCTGTAGTTTCATATGTGAGGCAATTCGACAAGGACTTGTAAATGTCTTAATTTCTTTAAGCGAGAGTAACATTGTGCCGGCCTTCACTTGGAGGGGCAATTTTGTCAGATCCACAAGGGCAGCTTTCTCTTCCTCTTCCCTATGAGGCGGGCGGCGAAATTGGTCGCATTTTGAGCGCCGTCAATTAGATTAAGGCTCTAGAAAATTTAGTGAATTCATCTGGGTTTTTGATTTAAGTGTGCAACGAGAGGGGTGTGCAAAAAGACTAGGCTTTAGACTGTCAACTAGGTTTAGGGGGGGGAGGTGAGTCGATGGAGGTCGAAGATCGAGGTGAAGTCGTGCGTGGAGGCTTCATATCCATGTGAACGTGCAAAATCTTGTGAAGGTTCAGTTTTCTGGTGCGAATTTGTTTAGCAACTTTGCTTTTATTTGAGGTTTTGTCAATGGGCATGATAGACTTAGTAGGGATTCGGGCAAGCCGCATTGGTCTGAACAGGCAAATGAGGTTTATATCTTTGGGCATTAGAGAATCTGAGAATCTATAGCCACCAGCGAGCTAATAAATAAAGAAAAAGAACATCTAAATAGCTATGATTTTTGTAATCGCATCAGCTGTGTTAAACAATCAAATTCATCTACATTTTTAGGTCGAAGGGACGGTATGTGAATACTCCACATTACTGTGAGTAATTTTAATGATCATCCAATTAGAGGAACAATCATGTTTAAATTCCGTCTGCAAATACCCATTTAGGTTGTAATTTTTCTTCGAAAATTTTAGAGAAAGCGTGATTCTCAGTTTATATTTGTTATATATATATAGTACCCTATAGAAAAGGAAGATTATCGCGCTTGAAACCACTAGAACTAGACAGGAAATGATCGCATTGAAGGTCAGCAGGGCATTTCAATGGGGAGGCCAAGGAAGGAGGTAATCAGAAGTCATAACATCGGATCAACGAGTGCCACCCCAAGAAAAGCTGCACTTCCTGTTTCATCCAAACCTCCCCCTCTGCACTTTTATTGAGACTTTTTTTTTGTGTTTTTTTTACCTGGCCAGATCTTGATTGATGCCCCTGAAGAGCTTGGGAATGGAATCTTCAAAAAACTGGTGGCAATGGCCATCCCAAGAACTTTGTTGTTGCAATCTTCTTGTTATCGCTTTGTTTCTTCATTCTTTTGTTTTGTGGCCTGTTGTTTTGGTTTTTTATTTGAATGACCTTGTTGTGGTTATGCAACTTTGGGTTGGAAAGTTATGCTCTTGTTGCTATGGATGGTTGAAAATTTATAAAATAGGTGTTGATATTGGGAGGTTGGAACACAATGGTCAGCTATTTGATAAAGTAAGCGACAAATGCATGCCATTGTAGTTAATAGCTCGGAATGCTTTGATTCACATCAAGTAAGCAATAGTTTCAAGTTCATGGGGCATGATTTTCAGATGATTGGCCATCCACGATTTCCTTATGTCGAAGCAGTTGATGAGGTGCCAGATGAATATTTTGATGATATTTTTAATAAAGTTTTTTTTTTTTTTTTTTTTTTTTTTTTTTTTTTTTTTTTTTTTTTTTTTTTTTTTTTTTTTTTTTTTTTTTTTTTTTTTTTTTTTTTTTTTTTTTTTTTTTTTTTTTTTTTTTTTTTTTTTTTTTTTTTTTTTTTTTTTTTTTTTTTTTTTTTTTTTTTTTTTTTTTTTTTTTTTTTTTTTTTTTTTTTTTTTTTTTTTTTTTTTTTTTTTTTTTTTTTTTTTTTTTTTTTTTTTTTTTTTTTTTTTTTTTTTTTTTTTTTTTTTTTTTTTTTTTTTTTTTTTTTTTTTTTTTTTTTTTTTTTTTTTTTTTTTTTTTTTTTTTTTTTTTTTTTTTTTTTTTTTTTTTTTTTTTTTTTTTTTTTTTTTTTTTTTTTTTTTTTTTTTTTTTGTGTAGTAAATTTGGAACAAATTAAAAGGACAGTGTCCAAAAATTAAATTGGAGTGGCACGACGACACACTACACTATACTCGTCTGTTGTAAACAGTCTTCTGCATCGCTTCCGAAGAATCCTAGTAACCACAAAAAAAAATCAGGAATTATATCAATTAGGAAGATGGAAATAACATAGCGGGTAAGGTGGCCTTATATCATGAAAGTACCTGTAAGATAAATAGAACTCTGTTTACGTAGTAACCGCAAAAGAGCATCTCTAAAAAGTTACACTAAAAACATATTCATAATAGAACATTATACTAGGACTAGCTGGACTCACAAGAGCATAATGAGGAACTAAGCATTAGTATACATTATGATAAATAGATGGATACCATCGCAAGTACTAAAGCTAAGGCCAAAGTAGATCTAGCACAATCTAGCAGTCAATGAGGCTGTATTCCTAATTATGTCATACTATTAGAGCCTTTAGTAAACGTTTAAAATTCGCCTCTCCGACCGAAAAATCTAATATGCAGTTGATACATTCAGTGATTAATTATCGTCTTTAATGTGTCGAAGAATTTCCGACACTTATTATAATTTATTCACTTTTAATTCTAGTACCAAACTTTTTTGTAGTACCATGTTATATGATTATAGGCCAAAAACCTGTTAGATACTCGCTTTTTATTAGAAGCATTCTGCTTAATTTTCTTTACCCACTTACAGTAGCACCAATTATACACCTAATAAAAGCATACATGTTTTTAAAATCGTCTCAGGTGAGCAGATAGTAAGATTTACTCTTATAAACACTAAAGGAATAGACGAACTTAGAAAGTGAGTAGCAGACATACCCCGTGTCTTTTTGATACTTAGAAAATAAATTATGATTGATGCTAATTTTGATACTATATTGATACCTCATAGTGACATCGATAATTTATGAAGAACTATTAGAAATTAACCTTATGATTAGGATTACATGATTGTCAAATAAATAATGAATGCCAGTAATTTTAAATATAGGCCTAAACACATTTTAGGATAAAAAAATATCAAAATCTGTTTAATGGAAGTAGAATGCATGCCAATAAAGACCATATAGTTTCAACTGCACTCTTTTGTAGTTAATGCGTAAATACACCAGTAAAATCTTAGGCACACTAATGAAACCATATAGAAGAAATAATGAAGAAGCCGGTAAGACATGTTTTCAACAATACGAAAACAATTGGCTAAGCAAAAAGAATCCCTCATAAGAATGAACAAATTAGTTTGCCGAATATATACACTTACGCATCCATGTAACCCACCAGGATATTTTTTATATCCCTCCTGATTTTTACTTGGTCAAGAATTTTTTAGCATCTAATTAATGATTAAAATAGTCACCACACAACTTTCTTTTTTTGCAGGAAAATATGAAGAGCAAAAGAACAAGAAATGATACAAGGAAGAAATTTTAGAATTATTTAATTTAAGATGTAAAATGAGCCTGATTTTACAAGAAAAGATTAATGACCAACTTTTAGAGCCATAATAGAGAATTTTCCCTTGGAGCAAAAAACTATAAATCTATTTTTCTTCAAACCCTAACTAGAGAAAGGTAAGATTTTTTACCAGGAGATATTAAGAGTCATATGATTAGATTAAAATATGAGCAAAATACGTTTCTTCAGTTATACATTCAAGCTTTTCCTTTTTAATTTAAAAAAAAATAGTCCACATCCTGGTATAAAAATTATTACTAAAAGTTGTTCTCATTATACTAGTTATTTAGCTAGTATTAACATGGTGGAATATAGAGAACTGCATTTAGAGCATAACCAAAAAAATATCACAATTACTCCAACATTTTTTTACCAAAGTATGGTTATTTAGGTCAACTTTATATTGAAAATAGTCCTCATTTAGATTCATTTTCCTTAAAATTAAAAAAAAGTTATAAGTTTTTATATCCCTCCTTGGAAGAATGTAACATTAGATTTCACTTGTATACCCCCAGAGTAGTTTACGGATAGTATTTACCCAGACATAGTACAACATAGTATTATTGTTTCTCATAATGAACTGCTTAGTCCGATAGAATCCGTAAATACGTAGATCTCTACAACGCAAGACATTCAAAAATACAAAGGAGCAACTTTAGTTGAGCAACAATTGTTCAATGATGATCGTCTGAACCTCCTTCACCAATCCAACTTTATCAAGATTTATTCAGAGACAATCCAGGAGACCAGAAGACACATATGAATTCAGAATAAGCAAAACAGGAGCAAAAGTTTTTTATGAAATCTATAACCAGATAGCATAACAAATTGAAGCAGAAGACAGCGTCAACTCATACTGGAATAGCTTAGGAGAAGAACAGCTACACAACATAGACAACATGATGGCAGCATAATGAAGTCATAACTCCATGTGAAGGCCTCGTGATAGAAGAAGCATAATCAAATTCATTTCACGTGAAGAGATCATCCCATCAACATAAAACCGGATGCAACATCAATCGAAAGTTTATTAAAGCAAGAAAATTCAATTTTTTTTGGCTCCATACGGCTAGCAAGAAGCAAGACATTTTGGCACCATCTGAAAAATAAAGAAAAGACGCAATCTAAAAATCAATAAGGGCATTATTGTCCAAACACTAAAATTTTGTCCTTCTTCATAAATACTTCCCTCATTTTGGGCTGAATCAAAAGTCTCCCATTAAAAAGCTAATTGATACAAGAAAATCGGATATACATACACCCTATTTGAGCAAAAATCACATTTGAATCCCCCGAAGGTGCAAAAGAGATGTAAATGTGGCTTTACATCTCCAATTTACACCCTAAGCATTGGAGATGCTCTAATGAAGCTAGAATTATTCAACGGAAAAAGTGAGAATGGAAACCCAATGAAATTAGAGTTTGAGATTGGTCAAACACAATGCTCCTCTGGAGTGTGACCATTAGTATGATCAATAAACTATTCCATCGTTAGGCAAAATTGGCATGGCATCAATGACCAGTAAATCTATAATTATTCTAACCATCAACTGTAATAGATCTGTTTCTTAAGCAAGCAAGATGAGCATCAAACTACAATGTAGTTTTGATAATTAATTATCAGTCGTGTTACAAAGCATCAGCTTATCAACTCAGGCTTTATAGGAAAAACAATGTGAATCCAAACCCTTAGTTTCTTTAAATTAAACTAATTAGTTCAACATTTATGCATATAACTTCATACATATATAGTAGTAACCTGAAGATCAAAATCTTATTAAATTAAGGATTGCAGACAAATACGATGACTCAGTACTGAATCTGCTACAGTCAGTTCCGCTTGGAAGAGTTCAACTCCAGATCCCTACGCCTTTCCTCAAGTATTTGCTTTGTCCTTTCAAGAACACCAAAGAAAATGGAACCTCCAATACCTATCCACAAGACTCGTGGCCCAATACCCTGCAGCAAATGGCAAAAAAGAAGCTCACCGTGGTGCAAACTATGCATAGGATAAAATCTTCTTTACGCATAGTCTACGTTATATTTTGCAAGAACAGATACCATATGCTTAACTGTTTTGGCTGATACCGTTCTGAGTCTGATTTTTAGCAGATCAAGGTGAATATCAAATGAATTGATGTGTTCAGCCAGAACTTGACTTTGTTAAGCTCAAGTTTTTCCCTACTATATAAAAGCTAATTCTGGCTGTCCAAATTTTCACATGAGTAAAATATGTTTGCTTCCTCAAGTCAATATAAAAAAATATCCATAGCATGAACACAGTGCACTAAAAATGGCATCAAACAATTGATTTCAGATTCTAACAATGCAGCTCCATAATCAGAGCTGTCTAATATACACGTAAAGCTTCCCGCATCCAGGATGTGCTGCCGTTTACACATTTCCCCAACAGATTGTTAACGTTAGGGAGTACAACTCGTTTAAGGCTTAGGGTTTAGGTTTGACTCTTGAGCATTGTCCGTGGTCGTTTGAATGGAAGTCCATCCGTTCCGCGGGTGAAGTGTATTGTGCGAGCTTATGTGTGTGTGCATACAATGGCCTTCACATGAGAACACATCATGCATAAATTCATTATGTCTTGACTTTTATGGCTTTGCTTAAGAAACTAGGGTATTCTAGGGTTATGTCTTGACTTTGTTAAGCTGAAATTTTTTACAAACTTGTGAACATACTGGTTTTAGGCATTGGATCAGTTTTAAATAGATCAAATGACACTTAAGTTAAAACGGGTTGAGCCACTTTAAAAAACCTGAAACTGAAACAGGTCAACAAACACCCACTACATCAAACAGCACCTACCCATCAGCTTGTAGAAACCCACTGGGCAAATGAAGGCATGTCTGTGTGTGTGTCTGTGTGTGCATGTATTTAATCCTATATACAGAGTACCTTGATTCCTTTTTATTTTTATCAAAAGCGATCACATGTGGGACCAACCAACAATTCCATTCAATAATTCGAACTGTCTATTTGTTAAGTCTTCAAACAAGGTTCATATAAAAAATCAGTAGTCTGAAACATTTAGTCTTCTAACTATGACCTCATAAACCAACAAAATGTTTCCAATAAATACTGAAATCATAATGGGACGAGGAAAGGGAGAGTAAATTCAAATATAACCCTAGAATTCAAGACATGAATAAATCTATGAGGATCCTAAACTGAAAAGGGAGACATTGGTCAAAAGTCTTGAATACTACAATTTCTTAGCATACATTTTAGCAGCCTCATTAAAGTAGTGGAGAAAAATAAGAAAGAAGAGAAGTGAAGCAGTATTCCAGTTTGACAGGGCAATTATTAAGTAGAACGGTAACAAGGAATGGTCAAACCTTCCAAAGAGCAGGACTTCCTTCTTCTCTCATTATGGTCCTAACACAATCATAAATTCCTCGGTACTGGTTTTCTGATCCCTGCAAAAGTTTTGAATGAAAGAGAATGGTGAAAATAAATTTTTTCACAGGATTCCTTCAAAAGATGAAAAGAAAATGACATTCTATCACAACCTGAAGCATTAATCTCGTCTTAATCACGTCAAGAGGAGTAGTTATAGCTCCAGTTACTGCACCTGCAATTTAGGGAGGGTAGACCGAAGAGCTTTTCATTAAATGGTGCATTATGTATGCATGATTAACCTAGCACATCATGCAAATTATTCAGTACTAGTAAGCATGAGAATTCTTGGGCTATGAAGCACACATGAACAGGTTCATTTCTTGAGAGAACTTATGGTAGTGGCCTGCATGGTTTACAGTCAGATCAAATGAGGTTCATATGCCAAATTTTTTATCTGGAAAGTAACAACCATGAAAAATTTGAAGCTAGTTCTCAGTCAGTTTGAGAATTGAACTGCAGACTATAGTTGCAACAAAGTTTTTGCAATATTGTACTCTGTTTTTAGTACTGTTAAATGCTGAATGAAATGGTATGGTGCACTCATTACAGAGTAGAAGTTGGCATGCAAAATATCAACTTAACTAAGAAGATAATATTTCTTTCTTCTTTTTTTCAAAAGTTTCGTTATCTAACTGCATTTATTAAAAGACGTCAGAATTTTGGAGGAGGAACCTATCATTACAATGACATTCAGGGTAGGCATTTTTGTCAAATAGTCTTCATATAAGTTGATGGCCGAGTCTATATGTAGCCATATTGATTTTGTAGCCAGTCTAGCATTGAAAAATGACTTCCTAGATGAGAATACGCATAAATTTTGAGTCAGGACTACTTCATAGAAATGTGCATACATCAATGTACGCATAATTCATTATTCATCCATACATATGCAAGTTGAAATCCCTCAGAATTACAGGGAGAAGAATACAGACAGCAGAGTGAAAACCAAAGAACTCAATCTAAACTCAAAAGATACATGACATGTTAAGTTACCAGCAAAAGCACCAATCATAGCAACCTCAGGATCATTCAGATCTCTTCGTGCCTACAAGGAAGCCATAATTTAATCATTTTTGCAATGCACACGCACGGACACTCACTCATGAACGCTCAGATTCATGTACATTGAATTGCAGAAGAACAAAGTAAAATTGCAATTGAAACTACAGGGACCAAATGCAATTGAGTCCAAACTACAAGGACAAAAGATGCAATTGGACTTAAATCATTTTTTCACACACACTCACATGCACACATGTATATATGTATGTATCGATGTTTTGCAACGCAGATCAAGACAATATTTGAAGGGGGAAATGAAGCTGTAGAAAGTTTCGTAGGCAGCATTCCAATGGTTTCTAGTGGTGAGTTAACATACTTGAACTCTGCTATTTTATATGGAAAATTTGGCTTTACTTGTAAATAATAGCATATTTGTATTGGGTTCTTGAATTCCTTGAATATCTCCATCAACAATGATATAAATACTCCTCTCGTACCGCTAGTTTAAATCCTATTTGAAGCTGCTCGTAGATGCAAAACTGAACAGCATCAAATGGTAAATCTCGCAATAGAAACGATCCATACCCCTACAATTTCAAAGGAGGTCAAAGCATAAGCACCAAAATCATTTCACAAGCTAATCAAACAAGACATCTAGATAGCTCATGAAGGAATAACGAGCAAATATGCTGATTCTAAAGATTGTAAACCCAACATACGACCTTTGTTTCGAAATAAGTGATCTGTTCTTTCTTTGAGGAGATATTTGTTAGGTTAAACTAACGAAGTGAAACTTCAGACTGAAAACTTGGCTCAGAGAAATTTAGAATGGAGAACAGTTAGTGTGATGTACCGCGTAAAGACCTTTGAACCCCTCCTTGGCAAGAAAAGACGGACAGCATCTGGGGCTGAAGAAAATTGTGCAGTTTGCATGCGTTGCTTGACAACCTGGGAAGAGTTAAAATGGTAACATGTGCAAGGATACAATAACTAATCAATGGAAATAATAAAAGTAGAGAACTTAACTACCTCTGTTGGAACTCGTACAACAGAAGAAGCAGCACCTGCAATAGCACCTGCAGTCTGATTGAAGTCTTAATACCTATAAAAATAACAAGGCCTCATCCAGTACATTGAAGATTAAACTTCTCCCTATCATTATTATTAAAATGAGAGGGATGTTAAGTGAGGGGAAAAAAATTTACAACGAAACAATCAAGCAGTTCCGAGAACATCCAGTAACACCTTTTGGCTAATTCATAAAGGTGGTGATCAGGTCTCTTTACATAGGCTGCTAAATCTTTTTAACCTCAGGAAAGTAATCTATGCCCACAATGACAGAATTCAATTAACTTTTGTTTGTGATAAAAACAAGTCTCATTTTGTAGCTTCTTAATTTATCCTCCTGAGACAACCTTAAGTCCTACACACTATGTGTAGGTATTCAAATTATGCCACAATGACAGAGGATGCAATTGAGGAATTGGATCGAAAAAGATTAATAAAAGAAAAAAAGTAGCAGCAGGACGAGGATGAATGTGTTTGCATATCTATGCAGCTTGTGACTGCCACAATACTGAAGAAGTATTTCCCAAGCATTAAAGGATTGTCAGTCAACATACAAGTAAAATTAGGTAACATACCAATGAGCTAAAGCACTAAGGTTTTCTGGCAATGCCTTCAGCAGTTTCTGCTTTGTAGGTTCATATACACCAACAAATATGGCAGAAGCCCTGTAAAGATCAGCAAGACACCCAATTAAAAAAAAAATTAGCAATTCAACAAAACTGGAATGAAATAACTCTGAAACCTATGACAGAATTGTACCAAGATAAAATCTGTATTTTGTTCCAGTGGAACAAGATAAAATCTGTATTTTCCTAGAACGGAGTGCTTGTTTCCGCTGAAAATTTCTTACATTTGGATTTAACTACGAGAATGATTACCATGGAACATGAAAAGAAATGCACAAAATCCTCGGGATTGAGAAAATTTTGACAGAAGCCAGTTGCCAACAGCAATATACAGTACAGAGAAGTCCAACTTGCACACTAGACAAAAACTCCCATTGACCTACTTGCAGGGAGAACACAGTTCATGAAGGAAAATTACTTAAAGAGGAAAAAAGAGAAAACAAGAATGCATCCTGCAAAGGAGACAATATCACAACAGTACACCAATGTTAAGAATAATGGTTTTTTAAAACTTTTTTCAATTGGTTCTAAAGTCAGATAACTCATGTATTAAACAAAATGTGCAGCTGGTTTCCAAATTCAAATGAATCCTCATATTAGGAACTTAGATACAATATACTAACGTATGTAAAACTTTCTTACATTATCTTGTTTAAGGTTTCAGATAGCTAGGCCCAAAAGTTAGGTTTGGCCTTCGTGAACACAAAGGCATAGAACAGGATAGCCACTAAAATATAAAATATACATGTGTATAAGGAAGTTGACGAATGACTATTTGAAACCAAGTGTAGTTCCTGCCAATGGCTTTGTTTTTAAAAAAGTTTACTTACGGTAAGACACCAGCAAGGTTTCCAGCCAATCCCGAATATAGACCCTTTAACACAATTTTCCCTCCAGCATGGGCAACCTAAAAGTGGACAAATGGAAAGAAAATGAGAAACAGTTTAGAGAATAGTCAAGTGTTAAGCAATAATGAAACCCAAGTATTCTATAACCACAAATGTACAGGTGGCTACATTAATGAAAAAGCCACACTAGTTCACTTTTGATAATGAACTACGTAATTACAGAAAATTTCTCTTCATTCTACAAATGGAAATTTGTGGAAACCATATGGAATAGTATAGATGTTGTGCAAGGTGTATCATATCACCTGAAAATATGCTGAACAATAAATTAAGAGCACATAAGAAGCGATACTCATGAATATCATTGAACTTGGGTCAAGAAGAATTTGTAGCCACAGATCACTCCCGTGTAAGATAATTTAGCCAATAAAAATCGGCATAGTAGCATCTAGTATTGACTGCCTATTAATATATAAATGAAGGAGACGATTCTTCTACTTGAAATGACAAGCAACCTACCCATATCATATGAATGAATATTCCCTTTTCCAAGAGAGGCATTTCTAACGTAATACATTAAGAAAGATGTTCAGTATACTTCACATGCCTGTAATCGAGTTTTTATTGTGTCAATTGGGTATAAAGCTGCTTCTACAAAAACACCAGCAGCTCCACCAGCTATGACTCCATCTGCAAAACACAAAACAAATCCAAAGATACTAACTTTTCTCCTTCTGATTATATCATATAAACAGACGTTCACAAAGTATGTTACAGAAATAGAAGAAATTGTCATTTTTTCCAGTACCTCATTATGAACGGTACATAAACAAATCCTGGGAGAAGAAATCTCATAGTTTCAAGTGGTTGGTCAAGGCAGAATACGCATACAAGGTTCAACATTGCTTTGGCTAGAGAAAACTGGGGTTATACTATTCCACTCTTTTACGCAAACAATGGATTAATATAACGCCTCTCAAAATCATTCCATTGGTTTACAAAGAGAACCACATTCTATACAGAATCAACAACATAGCACCAAAAGTTCTAAAAATTACTATATTCATCTAACTGAGGACAAGTTGAATCAATAAGTTCTAACACATACCATAAAAATCGCATAAAAAATCGAATGGTGTATCTGCTCCACTACTGACTGTTGCCAAACAGTCATTTGGGTCCTTGTGAGAGCTACTCATCTTCAAGGTTAGCACATCTGTGAAATGAAAAACATAAGTATTAGCAAGAGCAGACAAATAAAAATTTGACAAAAAAGTAAACCTTTAATAAATCAATACTAATATGATATCCATAATACATTGCATTATCAAAAGGATGGAAAGTATAACGCCACCAGAAGAAGCCCTAGAAATCAAAACCAAAAGTTATTCACCCTCACAAGTGGAGCATTGATCAGGTAATGACTGAGAGAAATTGAATATATTTAACCAGATTTTTTTTCAACTGCAAAGAAATTGAAATTGGTATTAAACAGAACCAAGTGAAGCCCCATTTTGCTGCTGAAAAAATTGAGTTTGGGAAAAGAAAGGAATGAAAAACAGAGTTCTCAGGATCCGTTTGGTCACTGAGAAACAGAGGATATGGAAAGAAAATGAGGACAAGAAAGAACAATTAAAAAAGAAAAGAATTACCGGGTGAATGTGCCTGAGAAGTTTTAGATTGCATTCCCGCTGCACGACGATTTTTCACGAAGGTTCAAATCCAATAATGCCCCAGGCTTCCAGTTTCAGCTGCCTCCCTGTAGAGAAAAATAACAGGAGAGATACACCAACTTTTGGACTGCAACGTCACACTACTTTCATGGACTGCCAAATCAAAACTAATGTGTTGTTTTGAGGCGAAATTCTACAGTGAGGTGACTCCTCATGTAGCCTTCTCATTGGCCAACCGTTATGAGAGTGTTTGGGCTTTTAGCCCAGTTTTTTGGGAACTTTTTGGGCCAGTCTTGGCCAATTTTTAGCCTAGTTTGAGGGAAATTTTGAAGGCCAGTTTCTAGGCAATTTTGAAGCCCAGTTTTTAGGCAGGTTCTGACGGCTCATACTATAATGAGGGGTAAGTTATAAGGGGTAAGTTATAAGGGGTTCACTTTATAGCCATCAGATCGATCCCATGGTTGAACTGTTATAGTACAATCGGGTTGAAATTACCCATACCAAAAGATGCAATCCGAAAGTGCAAAGCACGCTCTCTCTCATCCTGATTGACTCTTCTTCCTCACAAGCCACTCGCTTTACAATATGTTCATCTTCTCTCTCTTTCTCTCTCTCTCTCTCTCTCTCTAGCCATCTCTGGTTTGAGGTTATCAAAAAACCAAACTCAACCAACACAGACAGAGAGGGTTTTGAGTCTTTTTTTTTATTATTGACACTTTATCACCCCAAAAATTATTTTCTGACGCTTCCTCTCCTCTCTCGCACTCTCCCAAACCAAATTCGGAACCCTAGTTTGACCTAGCCAAGCCGCCGCAACTCAGGACCTCCGTTGACGACCTCACCGCGAAGCCACTATCGCGACTCCACAGCCAAGCCACAGTCACGACCTCCATTGTCGTTCTCCACAGCGGTGAGTTCTGATATTGGTTTTGTACTCTCTATATGTTATAATTCATTGATCCCCTTTTCTTATTATTGCAACAGTAGTGGCATTCATGGGCTCCATTTTTTGCTACGGTCCTCTCTCTCTCCCTCTCCTTCTCTGTAAGTCCTCTTCTTCTCCCTCTTCAAATTTCAGTAATCCTCCATACCACTGACCTGAACCACCTACTTCTCTGGTTATCTTCTTCTTCGGGTCATTCAATTTCAATTTTTTTTTTCTTTCTAAATTCTACTTTAGGGATTCAGTTGGGTTAATTTTCGAAATTTTACTTTAGGGATTCATTCAATGCCTAATTTATGAGCTGTGGCTTTATGAATTATCAAGTGGACTACTTGTTTTTAATTGATCATTGATAATGGTATTATTGTAGTTTTTAATTGATCTTTGCCACAAGATGTGATATTTTGTCCTGTGTTTTTCAATGTTCTGTGTTTGTTGTTTGAACTACATGGGATGAACTCCAGTCCATTGCCATAATAGTTGCTTTTCTTTCTTCCTTCATTGCTTTTAGTGGGTGAAGACATGATAAACTAAAAAATTACATAAAGCACACAAAACTTCCCAACATTGTGTTAATAAATATATTATTAGTGAAGGCAAAAAGGAATGTTGATTTGAACTGGGAAAAAAAAAAGTTAATGCTTTTGTTACATAAATGAAGACCAAGTAGTTATAGCCAGAGCACTTGAAACAGCCTGACTCAGTTGTGACTTGGGAGTGTATATAATTAGACATTAAGTTGCCCATGATGTGACATTTGGTCATGTAGTGTGAATGCATGAACTAGCATTCTGGGACCATTTTACTGACTGAAGATGACACTGGATTTTCAGATCACCAACCTTCTGAATGTTGCATTGTCATGCATGACTGTACTTTTGTAAATGGTTGCTGCTGCTTACTTACTAACTTAATTAAGTGAAGTCATTCTGCCTGTGGTCATGCTAATGGTTTATTTATTTATTTTTAAGAGAAACATAATTTTTCTGCGTGGTTATTACTAATCAATCTCCTTGGAGCATAGAGTTTGCTTCTCCTATCTATTCGATTTTCATCAAGCCGTGCAACTAATGTTAAGTTTTCTTTTACTTATTGTTTTCTGCAGAGAGGATGAGATTGAGGACATTCAGAAGGTACTACCTCATATTCTTGATATTAGAATATCTTACCCGTAATTTATTGAAATAAAAATAAACCAAGTTATTAAATTCTTTTAGTATTGATGGAAGTTGTGTTACTAAATTACCAGTACCTACGCTTGGTTGACATGGTTGTTTTGAATTGTAAGATTAGCTTACTATTCGATGGACCCACTTGCTGATATTAGGAAATGGAGTTATTAATTGAAATGAATGGGAATGTGCTTGTGCTTGTTTCTTATGCTATATTAGATTTTGTGTGAGTGTGATGCTAATCAGCCATTGAAATACACATCTTTTGGTGTTAATATTTGAAGTATTGGAACATGGGAAAGCTGAAAACATGTATCTTCATGAGATGCTTGAGCAAAATTTGAAGTATTGCAAGAGCATTAAGTAGACCTCCCTTGATATGGCTTGCTATAAAATGTAACATATGGATCTGAATTCATTGTTCTAAAGGTGCCCCTGTAGATTATTTGTTTCAATTCATGATTCTCTTTCACCTATATAGAAACATAGGATTGGTTTGTTTTTTTTTAAATCTGGAATTGTTTGTACATTTAGAAAATGGAGAACATTGGATTGCTTCAGAAAATTGTGGTTGTTTTGTTCACTTTGCCTTCTTTAGGAAGCTTATATAGAGTACGTGTGGAGCTTCTTAAGTCAGACAATTCAATATTGCCCCATTTTTTGCCAAACCATTTGATGATTTTTTAATGGTTCTTTTTGTTCCTAATAATGTTCCCGTAATATCACTTTGTACAAGAATAGTTATGTTTCTTCAATCTTATCGGATTGGAATGCAGCTGTTTCTTAGTTTCATTGTTCTGTGTATTGCTGTTATGGATGTTGTAGTTGTATTTGGTTCTGTATTGATGTTATGGATGTTGTTTGGTTATATTGATTATTGGTTGGTTGATTAAGTTCACCCCTTGAGGTGTTTTGATGTTTGGTTATGTCCCTCTTATTTAGTTCAACAGTTTCTTTGTGCTTTGTGTGTTCCACATTTTCCGATTTTCTCTTCTTGTGTTCTAGGTTGGGAAGCTCTTTGCCAATTAGTATGAGTTTCTTAGGTCTTTTAGTTTCTGATTGCTTTTTTCTTGTCTCAGTTTCTATTTTGTTTTTTTTGGTCTTTGTTTCTCCTCTTTGCTAATTTCTTGTTTTGCCATCTCTTTTGCAGGGTTCTTTATTTTTTTTTAAATGACAGTTGGACCTAGATTTTTGACATATAGAACATTGTTGTCATTGAGAACCATCATCAATTTGGCGTGGGACAACATTGTATTCCATCACAAGAAGTGTGCTGTAATTATATGGAAAAAAAACATGTAACTGAGGAACTATATATTTTAGTCTTGTAATTTAGTCCGCATTCAATGAAATTGAGTTCAATTTACTTGAGAAATTTCAGTCTTGAATTCGTTCTTTTTATATTCTCAAGTGTGTGCAATAGAAAAATACTTCTTTTCCATAGAACAATGAAAAAATACTTTTACTTATATTATACATTGAAGAGAACATTGTATACATTGTGTATTCTGCCCATGTATTGCTGTTACATTGTCTTCCTATTGTTCTCTTATTGCTGCCATATTACTTTTTTCACCTATGTATTGGCAATTATAAAGTTGAAGTTGGACATCAGGTGTGCATATTGTCATCTAATTGTCGTTATATTGCCTTCCTATTGCTCCCTTATTGCTAGCATATAAATTTTTTTTATCTCTGTATTGGCAATTACAAAGTTGAAGATGAACATCAGGTTTACGTATTGCCGTATGATTGCTGTTATATTGTCTTTGCTCTCTTATTGTTGCCATATCAATTTTTTCAACTCTTCCTCTGGAACATATAAAGTTCAAGTTAGACATCAGATTTATGTAGTGTATTTTTTTAGAGCGTAGAGAATGTCACAAAGAGTTCCTACCAAATTTCGGTGTATTTTTTGGATTTTTATTTCATTTATTACGAATTTTGTAAGTTAAATTCTAAAAAATTATTATTAAATGGTATGGAGTGACACATCATGGATTTTTATTTAATTTATCATTATTAAAAAGTAATATAATAATAGAATAACAATTTAGGATAAAAAGTAATAGAATAATAATTTAGGGTAAATAATAATATAATAATAATTTAGGATTAATAACAATATAATAACAATTTAGGGTAAAAGTAATATAATAATCATTTAGGGTAAATAATAATATTATAATAATTCACAGTAAAAAGTAATATAATAATATTTTAGGGTAAATAACAATATAATAACAACTTAGGATAAAAACTAATATAATAACAATTTAAGGTAAATAATAATATAAGAATAATTTAGGCCTCCATAATCATAAGGAGTTTGTAGTAATTTTTCGTGTATTTTTCTGGTTTTTAATTAATTTTTTATAATTTTTTTAAGATAAATTTGGAAAAAGTAAACAAAATGACATGTGGCGCAATCATAAGATGCCACCTGTCGAAAACAATGACTGGTCTCCTTTCAGCTGCAGCCACGTGTGATTCTCTATATTTTTATTTTTATTTTTTTAGATTTCACTTCTAAAATTCATAACAAATAAATTAAAAATCCAAAAAATACTTCGAAAAGTCCTATAAACTCCTTGTGACATTCTCTACACTATCAAGCTATAAAAATATAATTTCACTTAGAAAAATATAAATTGACGACAAAAACTCACATTTATTTCTAAATGATTTAAAACACTTAGTGGATGCTCTATAATATAACAATCATGTTCTTTGATTCGAGGATTACCATGAACATAAATATGTGAAATCATGATTTTAGACCCCCATAGTAAAAGACAATGTCGTAAGGAATTTTTAACAACTTTTGGCGTATTTTTCAAATTTTTAATTAATTTTTTTTATGATTTTTTAAGATAAACTTGGGAAAATTAAACAAAA